TTCCTATGGCAGCTATAAACATATATGTATACATATACATATATTGTCCACCGATTCGCCATGCTCCGATTTATATACTAGTAGAATTATATTGAAGAATAACTCCATAGTTTCATTCAAGTAGCTGCTTGCTCTTCAATTTGTTCCAAAACATTTCTCGCACATGTAGCATATGATTCCCAACTGGTTCTAACATCCCCGGAACGAAGTGACTGCTGCCAGCCAAGTCTCAGAGATGTGTTGTGTTACAAAAGTTGCAAGTCATTGTTTATTAGTGTTCAAAGTTATTATCTGACCATACTTACTGGTCATAGATACTTACTGCTCATAGTTACTTAGTGCTCATAGTTACTTAGTGCTCATAGTTACTTAGTGCTCATTGTTAATTACTGATTATAGATAGTTCCTGTTCAGAGTTACTTACTGATCAAAGTTAATTACTGATCTTAGTTAATTACTAATCATAGTTCTATAAATCGTCCGATTGTTCCTATGTCAGCTATATATATATGTATATATATAGTCCACCGATTCGCCATGCTCCGACTTATATACTTATATAATTATAAAGAAGAATAACTCCATAGTTTCATTCAAATAGCTTGCTCTTAAATTTGTTCCAAATCAAATTTCACACATGCATATGATTCCCAACTGGTTCTAACATCCCCGGAACGAAGTGACTGCTGCCAGCCAAGTCTCAGAAATGTGTTGTGTTACAAAAGTTGCAAGTCATTGTTTATTAGTGTTCAAAATTAGTAACTGACCATACATACTTACGGGTCATAGATACTTACTGCTCATAGTTACATAGTGCTCATAGTTAATTTCTGATTATAGATAGTTAGTGTTCAGAGTTAATTACTGATCATAGTTAATTACTGACCTTTGTTAATTACTGACCATAGTTCTATAAATCGTCCGATTGTTCCTATGTCAGCTATATGTATATGTATATATATAGTCCACCGATTCGCCATGCGCCGACTTATATACTTATATAATATAAAGAAGAATAACTCCATAGTTTCATTCAAATAGCTTGCTCTTAAATTTGTTCCAAATCAAATTTCACACATGCATATGATTCCCAACTGGTTCTAACATCCCCGGAACGAAGTGACTGCTGCCAGCCAAGTTTCAGAAATGTGTTGTGTTACAAAAGGTGCAAGTCATTGTTTATTAGTGTTTGAAGTTAGTAACTGATCATACATGCTTATTAGTCATATTACTGATCATATTTATTTACTGATCATAGTTACTTAATGTTCCTTGATACATACTGATCATAGATATTTTATAATCATAGTACTTATCGGTCATAGTTACTTCCTGTTCAGAGTTACTTAGTACTCAAAGTTAATTACTGATTATAGATAGTTACGGTTCAGAGTTACTTACTGATCAAAGTTACTTACTGATCATAGTTAATTACTGATCATAGTTCTATAAATCGTCAGATTGTTCCTATATCAGCTATTTATATGTATATATAAAGTGCACCGATTTCATTCTTTCATTCTTGTTCTTCCTACAAAACTGAATGAATACTACTTACTAAAAATTTTGTCATGACATATCTGCTCAGAATCTGTCGCATATATTTGGGCGAAAACTTTGTTGTTGAGTCAACGCAAACGGAAGTGCAAATCACGAGTCTTATTAAAAGTTTATTTTTGATCATTAAGTGAATAATGCAAATAGCATAATGCAGAAAATAAACTTGAATATTTGGTCAGGTGCTCTTAGACACCAACAATGTGAGAGAGGAGAGATGACAGGGCAGGGGGAAACAAAAAATAATTTGCATTTCATTTAGCCGACACACTTTTTTTTTAAAAGTAAATTCTGTGGCTGAGAGGGGATTGTTGTGGATTGTTCAGCGGAAATGACGGCTATAAAAGGCAACTGCCACCGCCGCATGCCGGATACGTGTAGCTAAACAACCGTAAAATATATGCATCCCCTAAACGCTCTGCAACCCCTCCTCACCTCAGGAAAAGAGGAAAAAAAAAGAAAACTCACACCCCCGCGGCAGACGCACGCACGCACAGTAAAGACAATTAGTGTAAGGCGAACGCACGCTTTTGCCTTGCCAACACACCACGCCCCCTTCTGGCCCACTTCGTGACTTTTGGCGCTTCATTCTGGATATGTTTGGCTTCCGCCGTGAAAGACCTTTCTTTACCGAGGTCCTAGCACCCTATACAAAGGATATTCTAGGTTTTTAAAAACTTTTGTAGAGCAGATATAAAGATATATCTTATAAGCTATAACATATTTTAGCAGAATACTTTGTATGCATATTTGGGATTATTATTAAGTAGTTCGAACTTTTAAGATGTATTTGAATATTTTCAATAGAAAACTATAGCTTTTTATAGATGTTCTTTAGCCTCAATTTGATAGAAAAAATAAGAAAAATAATTCCAAACAAGTCCTTAAAGGATATTAAAACTTCGTCTTAACTCGAAATTTACATTATCCCACCTTCTCGTTTCGAATTCTCTTGTCTTTTCGACACATGAGCATTTTTTTATTTGCACAATGCGAGCTGAGCGAGTGAAATAAGGTGCGGCGGAGGCCATAAAGCCAAATTAAATAAAAAACACTCATGCCCACATAAAAACCCGGGAAGAACAATTCAAAGTCACAAGGAGACAGAGGGAAAACCCCCAAGGATAACCGAGTCTTTGACTTGAGATTTAATTTTCTTGATGTGTGTGTTGAAGAGCAAAGCACAAAAAAATTAAAAAGGTTTCCCAAATGTGGTGCGTAATTTGCCATTTCTCGAATTGAGTTTATTCTGAGACCTAATTAAATGCGGAGCTTCAAAAATGCGATTAAGGGATTGTGGCTTCGCTTTGGCTACAAATATGCAGAACAATTGGATTTTCCTCGACACGACTGTGTACATATGCAGATTGCACAAACAGTGAGAATTTAACTCAAATAGAAAACTCAATTAAACAGTTTACATATCCGAAATAAAAGGTAATGGCTTGAGAAGACCGACAGACACAAACGAAAATTGTGGGATGTGTGAATGGTAAATGATATTTTATTACTTGTAACAAAAGGAGGAATATTACAGATATTTTTGTTACCGAATCTGTGCATATTTATATACATATAGAGGAATATCTATCTATCTATTATCTTTTAATAATATTAATAAATGTTTCTTGCATTTTTATACAAATAAGTTTAAACTTTTAATTAATTTCCAAAAATGGTTGACATTTATCTGGGCTGCCACCTAAATCACTAAGGCCTTAAAACAATCATAAGAATATAAATATAAAGCTAAAAAGATATTGCAAAAATTAAATTCCATACTTGTAGACACTTTTTGAAGGTTTCTAAAATTATTTCTATTTCTGCAGCACCCAAGTAAATCAATCAAATTTTAATAATTAAAGAAATTTATGCAATCATAAATTTTCCTATATTTATATTTGAAATTTCTATAATAATTTAAACTAGTATAAAACTTCTTGAGTATCGTGAACAAATATTTTCTTTATTTTCTTTTCACCTGTATTTTATCACGTTCATGCTATACAATCTTGGGTTATATCATTACTAAGTCAGCCTGAAATGAGCTTGGCAATTACAATTTTTCAAGCCTCATACATTACCCGATTCCGGACTATCCCAATTTTGTGGGTTCAGAGAGTCACTGGGCTAATACACGCCATTGCCACATCGTACAAATTTCGTACTAAATTTCTGGCTTAGGCCAAGAAAAATGCTTCAGGAATTAATGAATTCCCATATTGAACATATAGGGCCTTGAGAGGGAAATGCCTCTAATCGAATTAGTGGAATTAATTTTTGATGATATTGAAATTAGTTGCAGGCACCGCAAGTCTTCGGGGTGGCGGTTTCTCCACAGGGGTTGGTGAATTATATTCGAGAGTCGAACTACAAAACACTCCTCCTGGCTGTCCGCATTCCTCGGGTGGCGTGTGTGGGTGCATAAATTTAGTTTGACATCCCGGGGTTGACTTCTGGACCCGTCCGTCGCCCTCCATTGTGTTACTTTCCACTTGATTCAGCCATAGAGTGTGTGAATATTGCCAACCCCCCGAAAGCAGCAAACGTCTTCCACCTCCATTATTAATGACGCTTCGACATGTGTGTCAGGTTCGCCAAGTTTCGTTGAAAAGCAATTTTATTTACTTTTATTCCTGGCCAGCAAAGACTTGCAAGTAGCAACTGTTGTTACTACTACTACTGTTTGGCTTTTTCGATTGGGGCTGCTATGTGTCATGTTATTATTTATTGTGTGCTGCAAATTAAATGCCAAAATACGTTGAATATTTAATGCCGGCCCGCTTAAAGTTTCCCGCCCACGTGAAGTTTTGGCGTTGAAGTTAGTTACATTTCCTACATTGTCCTTGTCCTTGGCAAGCCCTGCCGCCCACGACAGCCCACAGGACGACCCCAACAGGACATGATAGCACTCTAACTACTAGAAAAAAAATAAAGAGTGAAAGAGAGCGCTAGTGTTTGCATGTCAGCAAGTAATAAGCACAAGGGCCATAATAGTTTTGCCAGTTATTTTATTTTTTCTCTCCCAACTGGCTGCAGGAGGAGGCTTTAACTCCCACTCCTCCAGAAGCATTTGCTTCGCCTGAAATTCCGCCACGATTACTTGGCCCTGACTTGGGAGTCGACAAGAGCCAAGTGCTACGACTGCACAGAGAATAAATCAGTTTGAAATGAGTAAAAGATCCAAAAATTCATTTTGGGGAACTTTTCTTATGATTTTCGTAGAGCAATTAATAGAGTTTGGAAGCTAAAACTATATATTTTAATGGAACTAATGAACATGTCAAATATTGTTTTATATTTACAGTCAATTAAATTCCATAAAAATGTTATATATACCCCATTTGCTAAAGAATTAAATAGATTACAATTGTTAAATTAAAATAGAAAGGACTTCATTAAATAATGCATAAGAAGTGCACGAAGTCTTTTAAATCTAAAGTCATTCGATAAATGTATTCCTTAAAAACTACTGCATTTACAACGATGATTTTATTTTTTATTTCAGTGGACCTAATGTTTTCCCTGTATAGACCGCATCGACCAGGCCGGGGACCAGGCCAGACCTGGCCAAAACAGAACAGACGCCTCCGCCGTTGCCGCCGCCTTTGGCTCGTTGAGCGTCTTGGGAGGCAGACATAAATGTTGGACATTAACGGGTAATTTTCTTGCAATTTTGTAGTCGTTAGCGTTTTGTGGCAAGGACGATGACGACGCGCCGCGTTGACAACAGCAGGCGAAAATTTAATTTTCCCAAAAATGTTCGCATAAATTTTTTAGCTAATTTTTGGGGGGGTGCACTTGCATCCTGCATTCACAAGGAAGAAAATAAAGGAAAGAATTTAACGTAAAGCTTTAAAGTGGAATATAGTGAGGAGAAAGAGGAAAAACCAATCCGAATGGAAATCCATTAGCGGCGAACAAATTTGTAATTTCCGCTGCTGGGCACACGCACATCGCAGGACATCGAGGATATAAAGGACACAGCTGGACACTGCTCGCCACCCCCCGCTACATGGCTGCTTTTGAGGTGTGTTCGGTCAGGTAATTTCATTTACCTTACTCATTTAGCACGTTCCTTTGATTGAGGGTCGCGACAGGGGGCAGGGGTCACTTTCCGGCTGTTTGCATGATAAAAATCACATACACTCCTTAAATTTCAACAGCACGCGATGCCGGATGATTATCCTTGAACCAAAAAAAAAAACACAAAAAAAAAGAAAATGATAATAAGAGAGAGAGAGAAAAGAGAACGCTGGGCAACCCACTCCCCTGCCTTTTGGCTTGGCCTTTGTCTCCTTTTTACCGGCGAGCACAGACACACTCAACCTTTTCTGACTTTCCTGATAGAAATTAATGCTCTGGCTTTCGTCCTCATAAAATGTTATATGGAATTTTCTGCTTTTCATTTTCTCAGGACACGCGAGCTGAAGGAATCCAGCTTTAAGCGAGATTTGGCGCCCCTTTTTCGGAGTCCTGCAACTTTTTAATGAAATTCCATAAACCGGTAATCAAAATCCAGCACCCGGATGACCAGAAATATGCCCAGCACTTGTCGCCGGCGACAAGATTGCCCGGAAGTTGTAAATTATGCAGGCTCCTCACACCTCACACATATTTTACTTTACTGACCCCCCCCAGGGCTGGCTTCAAAGTTTAGATTGAGTAAGTAAAGTAGAGATTAAAGAGGTAGTATAAATTTTAAAACTATTTAAATAGTAAATATTAAAAATTAAGTGCTACTTAAAGAGCTCAACGACTTTGATAAAAATATTACTGTGAAATTTGTTAAGCCTTGAACTTCAATACAAAATGTTACATGAAATTCAACTGTACTTAATAAACGTATAATATACTTAAATTGATACATTTGTTGATTAAATAAATTGTATATTTTGATCCTCTTACGATAAATATTTGTTATTTATAAAACCAACACAATGAAAATTATTAATATTAAGAATGGAAAACAGTTTGTATTATTCGTAGTGCATGTCCAATTTGCAGAAAATCAGAGTTCAAATTGAACTGTTCCCATTCTTTGGAAATTCTGTCAATCCGGAATCTGTCCTAGTCTCCAACGACTCCATGTCCTGTCGGATCTCCTCCTACCGCCCCGCTCTGGGCTCAGTTTAATTTACATTTATCCACACGTTTAACCAGTCGGCTGTTCCGACTCCAGGTGGAGTTCATTTGCCCAGTCGGTGTCTGGGCCAGTTCCCGCTCCTGTTTGGTCCTGCGTCCTGCTCCGGGTCCAAGTCCCTGTGGCGCCTTGGCACGCAGGCATACACTCTCGCTCTCTCTTACTCTTGCACAAACAGGAAGCGACTGACACCGTACAAAATGTTAAACACTTTGGCAACATTTGCTTAAAACTTTTGCCAGTCTCTCCAACTCCAGGAAGGGGTTTCCCCCTTTTCCAGGCAGAAAAGGAAGGAGAGTCGAGTCCTTTCTAGTTGCGGTTGCTGCACACAAAAAGTCACAAGGCACTATGCAGTTAAACCAACAACAGCAGCCGCAGCAGTAGTTGAAATGCACACAAAAATAAGGGTTAGAATTAGAAAACCCAAATTAATGACAGAAAATATATTACTAACAATATTTCTCAAAAAAGTAAGCAATAAATTACGCAGAAAATCCTTAAAAATGATATTATTCTTTGTTGTACTCTTTTTCTTTTGAGTGTATTACCAACAATGGCCAAAAGGTAAACGTGGCAAACAAAAGGCACGCCCGGAAATGGCAAAGCTGCTTGACTACAAAAACAACAGCAACGGAGCCAGGAGCTGGAGCAGAAGCAGGAGCAGGAGCAGGAGCAGGAGCTATACCTGAAAGAGAAGCAGAAGCGGGAACGGGAACGGGCACAGGAGCTGGGACAACAGACGCCAGTTGGCCACTCATTGTCGGTCGCCATGGTGAATCCTCAGGTGTTTTGCGCACAGTTTACTACGTTTTTCATTTAACCAACGTTGGGTTCAGGTCGTTTGTCCTGCTTTTTCCTGGCTGCTCCTCCTGGCTCCTGGCTCTCGACTCCCGACTCCTGACCCCTGCCTCCTAACCGTTCGTTGCTGGTTGTTTGGTGTTTGGTGTTTGGTTTGCGGTTGCCAGCGGACAACAAACGACACCTCTAGTGGACGTGATTGTTGTTGCTGCTGTTGCTGCTGTCCGAGCATAATTAAAAATTCACATAAATTTAGCTTAGCGCTGACACACACATTCTAATTGGGTTAATTATGTGTCGCCAGGACCTTAAAAATGTCATCCAGTCGGTGGATTCAGTGTGTCTGTGTGTGTGTGTGTGTGTGTGTGTGGTGTGTGTGTGTGTGTGTGTGTGTGTGTGTGTGTGTGTGTGTGTGTGTAAGTTGTCAGCTTCACCTGGACAAAAGCTGGACAAGAGCCCGGTTCCAAGTACATTAAGAGCAAATTATGTCGTCGCAACATGTGTGTGGTGGAGGGTTGGGAGGGTACAAAGTGGATTCAAAAGATGTCGAGAGATTCACGGTAACAGGATGTGTGCCACAAGGTAAAATGGAAGAAATGTTCACATGTCCTTTAGTACTTTAATGGTAAGGCAATTATTCTAAATTAATTCAGAGAGCTGATCCTATTGTTACGTCAACTTGTAGACTTGGAATATTCCATAAATTTACTTTAAAGTTGGATTCCATAAAAGGTAACTTTTACAATAATTTACTTTATTGTTTTATTTATTTTATAGACTTATTAAATAAATTCATTGTGTTTAAACACTGAGCTTTAGTTGTTTTTGAGAACTTTTGAGTCCAAAAATAGGTCATAAAACGTTTCGTAAAAACCAAAAACCCTTTTAAATTCCCTGTTCAAAGATTGAAGCCCGTTTTCCCTAAATTCTCATGCTTTCGTCTGCTCAACTCTTAATGCTGATCCACTGTTTCATGCTTAATTACGCATACGCCCCGTTTGACATGCCCCAAACGGTTGTCCGTTTTTATGGTCACCTTGTTGCATAATTTAGGCCACAATTTCAGCTTTGCCAACGGCTTAAGTAGCCCGAAAAGTTTTTATGCGACCGGGACTACGTGTGCGGTCCCCAAGGACCCCAAGGACTCCAACTCCAACTCCAACCTTCACCTCAACCTCAACCCCGACCAGATGGTGGCAATAAAACAGATTTAAGTCGGGAAAATTATATGAAACGGGTGCCAAGATGCCACATAAAATAATAAAACATAATAATAATAATAATATTAAGGCGTGGGCTGCATCTAATCCAAAGGAAACACTTGGTGACACTTGAGGAAAACAAGAACGCCCAAAAGTATGCAGCGCGCCATGGCAAATGTCAACAGCGAGAGGGAGAGCTGGGGAAAATCCTTGGGAAATGGGATGGCATGTGGGGAAAGGCAGGCGAAGCCCGCCAAGGCGAGACAAAATTAATTACTCGACGTGGAAATGTAATTACGAAAATATTTAGACCAAGCTCAGCGGCATGCCAAGGCAACAAAATGCCATTTGTCAACCGCTGTCCCGCCGAGCAGATTTCTTCGGGTCAGGCTCATAGGGATATCCCTCACATATATCCCTATTCCTATATATATATCTACATATACCAATAATGTACGGCATAGGGAATTTGATGATTTATGAGCCCCGGCAATTAATCAAATTAATCAAAATCGCATTAAACTTTGGCGCAGTGCAGCAACGCCTTTTTAACTGCCTTTCTGAATAGATTTCATTCGGTATATCTTATATCCCTTTCCCCCAGTATCGTACATAGTATATATCATTTTTTATCTGCTCACCCTTCCCGTGACATTTGTGCGTGCCATATGCACATTAATTCCGCAAAAGGAAAACTTTTCCCAGCAGCGTGTGGAAAAAAAACTTTACTTTATGGCCCACTTATAAGGAATATTGCCAGGGAACGATGCGGTTTTCCTAGTCAATAGCGCCTGTTCTGCGGTAATTATCCACTCACCACCATCGACCAACTTGTGCAATTGCGTTTCTATGTAAATTAACTTGAACGGAAATTGGTGTTTTTAAACTAGAACAGAGCAGGACCATGAGGGCTATGTCCGGTTTAAAGAACGGTAATTTCTATTTAAATTGTCAATTGTGTTATTTTTCATTTAAATTTAACTACTTAAGCAAACTATTTTTCCAAAAATCATAGTTTAAAAAACTCATAACTAAGCCAACAAATCCTTAATTTTAATTCGGAAAGCAGTTCTATGCTAAATTTTAAGGCCAATTTTAATGATGTAACCCCTTATGAAATTTTCAATTTTCGGGAAAAATGCCAAAAATTTATTTTATTTTTGACCGGACATAGCCAGAACGACTGGGCTGTTGATGCTGATCAAGAATATATATGGTTTATAGGGTCGGAAATGACTCCTTCACTGCGTTTCAAGCTTCTGACTTTAATTATATTCCTCAAAAAGGTATAAAAACAGACCATTTTTAAAAAAATCAAAGTTTTTCGGACATCATAATTAAGCCGAAATTGGATTAATTTTAAATCGGAAAGCAGTTCTATGCTAGTTTTTATTGCACTAACAAATCTGCATACTGCGTTTGTTAATGCTGCTGTCAGTTTTTTCTAAAATCATAAAAACCGCAAAAAGGTATAAAAACAGACAATTTTTCCGAAAAATCACAGTTTAAAAAAACCCATAACTAAGCCAAAAAATCATTAATTTTAATTCGGAGAGCTGTTCTATGCTAGTTTTTAGTAGATTAACAGAGCTACATACTCAGTTTTCAAATTTAAAAAATTCAATTTTTTGTCAAATTTTGGCAATTTTAATGATGTAACCCCTTATGAAATTTTCAATTTTCGGAAAAATGCCAAAAATTTATTTTTCGACCGGACATAGCCAGAACGACTGGGCTGTTGATGCTGATCAAGAATATATATGGTTTATAGGGTCGGAAATGACTCCTTCACTGCGTTTCAAGCTTCTGACTTTAATTATATTCCTCAAAAAGGTATAAAAACAGACCATTTTTAAAAAAATCAAAGTTTTCGGACATCATAATTAAGCCGAAATTGGATTAATTTTAAATCGGAAAGCAGTTCTATGCTAGTTTTTATTGCACTAACAAATCTGCATACTGCGTTTGTTAATGCTGCTGTCAGTTTTTTCTAAAATCATAAAAACCGGCAAAAAGGTATAAAAACAGACAATTTTTCCGAAAAATCACAGTTTAAAAAAACCCATAACTAAGCCAAAAAATCATTAATTTTAATTCGGAGAGCTGTTCTATGCTAGTTTTTAGTAGATTAACAGAGCTACATACTCAGTTTTCAAATTTAAAAAATTCAATTTTTTGTCAAATTTTGGCAATTTTAATGATGTAACCCCTTATGAAATTTCAATTTTCGGAAAAATGCCAAAAATTTATTTTTCGACCGGACATAGCCAGAACGACTGGGCTGTTGATGCTGATCAAGAATATATATGGTTTATAGGGTCGGAAATGACTCCTTCACTGCGTTTCAAGCTTCTGACTTTAATTATATTCCTCAAAAAGGTATAAAAACAGACCATTTTTAAAAAAATCAAAGTTTTTCGGACATCATAATTAAGCCGAAATTGGATTAATTTTAAATCGGAAAGCAGTTCTATGCTAGTTTTTATTGCACTAACAAATCTGCATACTGCGTTTGTTAATGCTGCTGTCAGTTTTTTTCTAAAATCATAAAAACCGGCAAAAAGGTATAAAAACAGACAATTTTTCCGAAAAATCACAGTTTAAAAAAACCCATAACTAAGCCAAAAAATCA